TGATAGATCAATTTCATAATATGTTAATGTAAAATTTCAATGCCATAGGCTTCTATTCCGTTCACCTGTTACACCCTATTTTTTTTTCAGACGATAAAAAAATCACCCAGTATACACACCACTAAATATCACTGACTGACTGATTGACTGACTCATTACGATATCTCTAAAACTATACACCCGATTAACTTGAAATTTAGCATAGTTACTCATTTCGCAATGTAGACCGCTCACTAAGAACGAATTTTACGATGGTGCCATAAAAAATCTTAATATTTTATATCTACGTTGTTATCGTCTATTAGCTAGCTTATAATATTTGCAACAGAATGCCAGCACTCTAGAAAATTCACGAACACCGACCTCTGCCATAAATTCAAATCAATTTCAATCTAATACAAGCTATCGGACGATTCGAGCTATTACAAAATCAGTAAAAGTATGGCGGAAATCTATTCACACCTTTATTACAGAGAATCCATTAATGTGGCATTATTTAGATTTAAGATATTGAAAGTTTTATTCGTTTTTTTTTACGAGTAAATATCCGAGTTTTTCTGACAACATTTAGCCAGGATCACTCTTGGAGTCGCACACTATGCCCCTTGCGCTGCCGCGATGTTGCCCTCTCTGTCCACACACTGCTCTAATCGCTCGATTAATCGCGTCTTTTAGATCTCTCGCGTCTGCAACATAATGGTTGTTGAAACTGTGGCAGCGTGCGCGCTTTATGCATGTTTAGTGTAGCTAATTAAATCAATGTTATAAAAAAGAAATATACGTCGTCGTCTTCGCCTCGTATATTCATCGCACTATTGCGATGGATATACATCGCCGCCGGCATCAATGAAATTGTTAATTGCAAATTTTAAGGGTCGATTTACCACGTGCTCGACGGTGAAGGAAAACATCGTGAGGAAACTTGCTTGTCCAAGATATTTCGAAGACATGTGAAGATCGCCAACACGCATTGGAGCAGCACGGCGGACACTTTCTTGACCTAAAACCCTCTCAGAAGTGAGAGGAATCCTGTGCCTACCAGTGGGACGTATATAGGCTGTAACTTTAAACAAGGAAGCCCGAACATATACATATATAATATACACAGACGATCCAACCTTGTCGTTTTTAATATAGTAATCTATGCTACACTGATAAAAATCTGCTTTACTTATAAGCTCAAGAAAGTTCATGATTTTCATTTATGATATTTGATAAGCCTATATGCGATGTGCAAATCATTAGAAATACAGAAACCATTTCAACAAAAATCTAAATATACGCAAAATATAGGTAACCTCATGATATTTTGCTTCGGAAATTTATTAAGGATATTATGATATTTATGGGAATATAACGACATATCCAATTTAATTTTAAACGTAGACTACAATCAAAAGAATAGTGAAAAAGAAGCGGTCAAGGAATGAAAGGTCTACTCCGACATTATGTTCCACGAAAAGATAAATTGCCCAACCGCACTGATTTATTGCTAGAAAGAAATTTGAGCAGAAAAATATATTTCCATCGTGCAAGTTTCTGAAGGAAGATTAGTAAAAATACTGATTTTCTTCTCTTAGCGTTTATTATGCAAATCCTTTTTGCAAAGTTTTAACTTTTTAAAAGGCGCAGGTGTTGTTGCCACTTAAAAGTAATAAATACTACCAAAATTTCTTTTAGGAATTTCCAAATTACTTTTTCTAATTTCCAATGGTTTGAAAAAGGCAAGAAGATACTTAAGTTTTTTTAAATGGAATAATTTTGTTAAACGAACACACATGCCACCTTATGGTAAAAAGATACTGCGGTCCATAGACATCTACATTTATCATCGATAAAGAATCAATATGCAGAAGCGTCGTCATCCCTGAGGACTAAGATGAAATGCCTTGTATCCAGTAAAAAGAGTATCCGGCTATCTTTACTTACTATCTGAAACACAGCAGTTTTAAGCTATTATTTCACGTCGGTATTCTGTGAGAGCATAGTCCTACCACGTTTGAGGCAACGCATTCATGCTACAATCGTAATATAACTGCCGCATGGCACTACCATGTACAAAGTAGTGTATTTAAACATGTAACTTTTTGTTAATCATTCAGATTCCATTTGTAGGTTGTTATTTTATAAGTCTTTATTTATTTTATCTTGACTGTTTAAATCTCGGGTTTAAATAGAACTTGAACACAGTCCCACCTGGTGGTAAATGGTGATGTAGTCCAGATGGTAAATCGCAATGTCTTAACGTAACAAAAGCCTATTCTTCACTCTTGAATTGAAGGCGCCCAGATTATATACGGACGGAAAGACAGACGCAGGTAAATTAATATGTAAGTAGTATGATTATTTTCGTACCTTTTTATTTCTGTTTTGATTATCAAATTAAATGAAGTTGACAAAACTGAATTGTTTGAATAACGAAACCTAGCGGTTACTAGGCGCTCATAATCACTAAGGAATTCCACGCCTTTATGACAGAATACAGGACTTAAGGATACTTAAGGACGGAAACGTGTATGAAAGCGGAATAGAAACTTAAGTCTATATTGGAAACATGATTTGTGGAACGAAGGCGGAAACCTCTACAGACAAAGAAAAGAAACAAAGGCTATGCTAGAGAAATTACATGCGAGAAAGAGATGGAATTGAAAACTTCGTAGCGGTGTGAAGCTAAAATGCACAATATTAGGTAGAAGTAAAAGAGTAGAAGAGTTTTCTTTGCACTTGTTGTACCGTACTAAACGCAAAAAATACAGCAAAATATTAAATTAAAACTTATTATTAAATACAACCAGCCGACCGACCGACTTTTAGGGTGCTTTACAGCACCCACACCCATGATCATGGGGGAAGGGGGGACTGAGGTATTTGACGTCCTGATGTCATAGTAAACCCGAGTTACCTTTTGTTTTTGGATATTCATTTTGGATTCGATCTACGCAAAACAAGCTTATACTATCCTGAAGTCTTGCATTGGTTTGCTTAGGTTTGGATTTCATTTAAATTATTTAAACTTAAAAAATATTTCAAAGACATGTGAAGTTCGCTGACACGCATTAGGGCAGCGCGGCGAACTTTTCCTTGCCCTAAAACCCTCTCAAAGGTGAAAGGAGGCCTGTGCCCAATAGTGGAAAGAATAGAAGCTATAACTTCAACTTATTAAACTATTTAAACTTTTAATAGGCAAAAGTATTCCTCTGTTAATATACAATAACTACGTTTTACTATTCTATAACATATCTTTTTAATCTTATAGGTAAATGACTTTTAATAAAAATTAGATTTGTACTTACTCGTACATCTTATGTCACAGAAAAGTATACATAGAAATATGACAGTTTAGTGTAGATAACACGGTCGTATTAAAAACAACTTTTAAAACAGCTCAGTGTCCTGTAAGACCAAATATACAATTCCTGTACGATTTTCTGTTAAGAAGAGACCCGTGTTTGGCAATGGAGCGAATGTAGGCTTTGTAGTCATTAAATTTATTCTTTGAAATAAGTAATTAAATCTAGATAGCTATTTACACGATAAAATACTTAATCCAAAACTTATCGAATTATATTCTTATTACGCAAAATTTTCATTATGAATTGCGGCAACCATAGTTGAGCCGGTGTTGAGGCGTAACGGCATTATTTATTATTTCTTAGCTGTGTAATCATGGCACATTGCATAACGCTTACATAGGTATCTACATTTTCATCTAATAGGTATTTCTATAATTGATTGTTTGTTTATTATTTATTCATCTATGTATAAAATAGCCTATCAAGACTCAGGGATGTTCGTGGACGCCACCAGGATTAATTTTAGAGAGATGCATCTGCATCTACACATTATACTTAAAATATGGAATTATACGTACATGTATTTATGTAGATAAAAGTAGTGTCAAATTCAAATCATTTAGTTGAACATATTTCACTCATCGAAAACATACCTAATTTTTGTAGTCGATGGTTGGCTTTGCTCGGAGAATCCCCGCTACCGTGCGACATGCTCATTGTTCACAGGGAAAGAGTAATAGTAGATACTGAATTTATTGACAAGGTGATGAGCAAATTTGGACAGCAACCTAGATGCTTTGAGTTTTTCTATGTATTTTTTGACAGAGGGGTGCAGAAGCACACCCTTGCACCCTGCTGCCGGCACCCATGGGGATGATACTTGCCATAGTTGCCACGCTTAGCAGGCGGGTCAGCTACGGCAGTTTTTATGTTATATAAAGTTACGCAGAGCTCTGTCGCCTCTTACTACATCTAGATGATATGGGATGGTTTCCTGCCACCAATACGCGGTTTGCTCAATGTTGTTTATTCAATTTCAAAAGTAATTACTGCTTATTTAAAATTAAAATCATAACTTTTTTAAATAATTACCTACAATAAATTTTAACATTCATTAATAATTATTATAGATTAGTACCAGTATAACTATTAATATCATTATGTGTGATTTAACAGATTGCAATACATAACTTACCACAAAGACATTCAAATATATACGCGGCTTACATTAGATATTGCTATCCTTTGAGGGATCTAATAATTTTAGGCACTAAAATTTAAAAATGCTCGTTTATATTATGACAATGACATTGACAACCATAAACAATAAGTTTAGCGTGGGTGCCCCTTTTTATGTTTATACAACTAATAAGAAAATTGCTGGTATTCACAAAAAATGATAGCGATAGTGTCAATGTAAATAAAAGAACATTATTTGAATATAATTAGAAAAGATTTTAATCACGTTTTATGTAATGAGATTCGTATGCAGCGGATGCTGGCTTGAAATGAAACCGTCATTTGTTTTTCCTATAGTTTGTTTTCTTTTTTCAAACCGTCACGTCGGTGAAAGTGTCTCAAATTAGCAACGCTTCTTTGGCCGAAATATTGCAAATCGATTTCTGATACGGTCGAATTGATAGTCGTTTTATTGCGGCTTTAGTTGAATTTTCCCGCGTTTTAGTTTGTGGTGATCGGTGTAAGATGATGGGACTGTATTCCAGTGGCGCGCTTGGCGGTGTGGAGGTATTGGATGGTGGGCTGGTGGGTGGAGAGCTGACTGCGCATGTACTGAGCGCTCAGGCGGCCGCTCATGCCGCCGCAACTGCCGCAGCCGCTGCCCATCAACAACAACAACAACAGATTGCTGTTCAACAGATAAGTAAGTCAACAACTTTACCAATCTGTTATACACTATTCTGTAATTATTGACATGGTTGATAATAACACCTCGGAATGAGGTGGTAGCTTCTATGCTGTTTCTTAAAGTTGTGTTTGTACAAACTTGCTTATTATTGTGTAATTTAAAAATAATCCGGCTGGGTTTCTTCTCAGAACAGAGTTTTATTCTGAAACCTGTGGGTAATGTAAAAAATTACTTTATTAATTAGAATTACTTGTGCACTCCATTCTGTTCTTATTCTGAAAAATTATAAATTTAAGTTTGATTGTCCATTGTAAATTTGAATAAATCTTCAGCTTGCTAAAGTAATAAATTGTATAGTTATTACAACAAGAGGTTGTCAGAGCACTAGTGGCCTAAGCTTGAGATAGGCAGTATGAAAATTATGGGGTTAAAAATTCATGAATTTAATTATTGTGATGCATTCTTAGGGATGAAGTAGTTTATTTAGGAATAAACTCACATTCATCGATTATTTATTATGTGCAAAAGAACTTTTGTAATGTTCCATCTGTTGTTGATGATTGTTAAAATAATAGATAGGCCCGTTTTGCCTTGAATTTTTAGCAGGTTTTAAATAATTTAGATAATCCAGGATATGAAAAATTGAGTTTTAGATTTTGCACTAAAATGCTCGTAGATATTACTTGTCCTTTCTTCTTCGAAGGTCTCTTGCAGAAGGGACTTTTTGAAGTGATGATGTAATTGTTTGATCTTCAAAAAGTGCTTTGTAAAGGTCAATTTTGAATAATTGTAAAGTATATTCTGAATAACTAATTTTGATAATAATAAACTTTTTTATAAAAATGAAGTAACAAACAAATTTGCAGTCCACCTGATGGTAAATAATTACCAATATTTTTATAACGCTACCCCTACACTAGGATTTTCTCCTGTATCGTGAAGGCAGTTTACAGACATAAATTGCATGAGGACCATCATCCAGACCCGAAACAATTATTTGTAGGCCATACAAATACATGTTCCGTGTGGGATTCGAACCTGCCTCCTCTAGCGCAGCCACTCAGCTATGCTGGTCTAGGGAAAGAGACCATTATCACCGCGACCTAAAAGATCAATTGTGATTGCTGCTATGACTATAGTTCACTGCTAAGCCCTATGTCTTCAATGAATAGAAGGAGTTTCTTAGCTGTGAGCAATTTCACTTGGTCTGGGCGGAGTACATATGTTCCCAGACGAGTGTTAAATTTGCATATTAAGGATCTTCAATCAGTTAGGATGTGCAGAGGTGTTTCGTCTGTTATGGAACAGAACCAACACATCCTTGTGGTGCTTAGTCCCAGGATGGACATGTGCTTTTGGGTGCTTAACAGCACCCATGGTCACGGGGGGACTGAGATGTTTGACGTCTCAATGTCATAGTTTTCCCGGCTATCTTCAGTTTTTAAATATTAATTTTTGTTCCCATCTATCAATCTTGCAACTGATTGCTTGGGTTTGGGTTTAATTTTGTTAATTATAAGATTCCAAACAGGATATTAAGGATAATTCAACATGTAGTGTTAGTGTAAATTTAAGAACTTGTGAATTTATTTTTTCTTATATCATTCTCATATCACTATTAATATTATGTTGATTTCACAGTTTCCAAATGAAAAATTTATGATATTTATGTTATGAAATTAAATGATCAGTCTTAATATAAACAGAAACAGAAACCTTTTTATTCAATATAGGTTATAAATACTTATTGAAAGTCACTTTTTTTAATTTACCGCTGGTTTGGAAAAAAAACTTATGTCCTGTGAAGAGCAGCAAGAAAGCCAACTGGATTATATTTAAATAGTACAAGTTTTTATGGATTTTATTGTGTATATTAACTATTTATATACCTAACATTCTGAGCAGCATTTACAGCATCCATGGTCACGGGGGGGACTGAGATGTTCATGTCCAGATTTCATAGTTAACCACCATTACCACAGATTAAAATTATTATTAGGAACTATTTTTTTTAATTATAACTGTACTTACAAATAATTATACAAGGTCTGGATGTTTGTCCTAATGCAATTTATGTATGTAAACTGCCTCCATGGTACAGGATAAAATCCTAGTGTGGAGGAAACATTCTTTAAAAAAAACTAATGTATATTTAAAAAGCAAATAGGACTTGAATGATTCCTATTGGTTTCAAATTAGATAAGACGATATTATTTAAACATCAACACAGATTAAAGATTTGATCTAATATATAAAAATTAATGTCGGTTTGTTCATATTTGATGTGCTGCCATAACATTCGTCAGATTGCAGTAAAACTTTGTCAACTTATTGCTTGCTTTCCGCACAGGTTATAGGCATAGTTGGCTCCCATATGTGGTGCTATTGTAGAATCCAGATATCACTCATGCGAAGCCAGGGAAGACAGCTAGTCTAATATATAAAATATAATATTTGTTTGAGATTGCACTAAAACTTTGTCAACTTATTACTTAGAACGAATGTTGTAGGCGTAGTACAATTAACTAACAGTAAATGGTGCGCATATTGTACTGAATTTGTTTAAAAAAATATTATATATCATTCAACTTCAATTAATGTATTATCATTTAAACAATATAACTCTTCCAAATTTAACATAATGTTTGTTTGTACAAATACCCGCTAATTACTTAACATAATTATAAAATAATTAATATTTCGGAAGAGCTTATAGTAAGAAATATGTAATGTACCTACTTAAGGTGTATTATACATATCGGAGGACATTATATTTTGTGTTACCATAATCATAATCTGTGATTTTTGAAAAGAAAAAATAAAATTTTTCCCACCACAGAAACGTCGCCCTCGTCAGGGCGTTCGACCCCAGTGACCACGGCGGCTAACAGCACGACCACGTCAACCGGCACCACCTCACCATCGCCCAGCAAACTCTTCGTAGGTGGACTCAGTTGGCAGACCAGCTCGGAGAAACTACGGGAGTACTTTGCGATGTTCGGACCAGTCACTGATGTCCTCATAATGAAGGACCCTGTCACACAGGTGAGTTGGGCTTCAGTGGATGAGTTTAAAAAAACCTATTTTGTGGTGTGCACCGTGTAGTGGCGGTGTAAGAATATCCACTATCCCCATATCCCGTGGGTGTCGTAAGAGGCGACAGAGGGAAACAAATCAGGAGATGGGCAGCAGCGTCTTCCTGATAACGACTAAAATAAAAAAACTAAGGTTTCCAACCCGCTTGCTAAATGTGGCACTCTCCCATAGATTGGGGAGGCCTATGTTCAGCAGCAGTGGATACCAGTACATACAACAGTGTGAAATAGCAGCTCAATGCTGCTGTGTTTCGGATGGTGAGTGTAGAAAACCAGAGACTCTTTTATCTGGAAACGAGGCATTCCATCTTAGTCCTCATGGTGATAACGCATCTGCATTTTGATTATTTATGGAGGATAGATGTTGATGTCTGGGCCACAGCATCCATTTACCATCAGGTGGATTGTGTGCTCATTTTTCACTCTTATTCTATACAAAAAATTGAAGTGACAAACAAAGTCAGTCCTGGAGGTTTACTCCCAAACTTGATTTTGAATTCAATTCAACTTTCAAATCAAACTGACGTTTTATAAGAATCTGATTTGAAGAGCTTACTCCTGAACCAATTTAAATCAAAACACACTAGAGTTGCAATCAAGCGTTATCAGCAAGTCCAGATATGATTTTATTTATTGCCTTTCATGATTCATGAATCTTTATAAGGTTGTTTTAATTAAATTAAAAATTCACTTCTTATATTAAATTCAAATCAAATCTAATCTGTTTATTTTGTGAACACAGGTTAATTTACAGATCTTGAAATGTACAATAATAAAATGTAAGGTGTGTTCTCTATGTCTCGACAGTAGTCATCTATGCAAATAAATAAAATTGAAATAGTTATGTTTGTAATGTCGAAATAACAGCTTTTACTAAATGCATATAAAGGTATATAGGTATACTTAAAATAAAAAATAAAAAGAACATCTTTTTAGAACTTTTCTCTGCTTGTTCCGGGAAATAGTCGGAAAGTTATAAATGCAACATTTGCAACAAGCATTATTATAAAATTAAAAAAAAATTAAAATTATAAAGGACAAACTTACTGAGAAAGAGTACTTTTGTCGCTTGCGACTACGACTGCCATCTAGCGGCGGACGACTGAAAACTTCTGTTCTGAGTAATGAGGGCTGATAATGTTTCGTTTACCAGGTGTCGCTAGTAGGTATTGAGGTGAAGTTATTTGTTATACTATCTCTATGTATAAGAATCAATTGCTGTCTGTTAGTCTAAAACTCGAAAATGGCTCGGCCGATTTTGATCAATTTTTTATGAGTATTTGAGTCTTTCTTTCGGGTCCCTGGATGGTTTAAAAACTCAATTGGACCCGTAGGTGGCGCTGTTGTCGAGACACAGAAATCGCCCGTGCAAAGCTTGGTTGGATCGCTAGTGTCATATAATTGAGAATTTGCTTTTTAAATAAAATTTTATCGGTTTGTAGAGTATTAGATAAATACACAAAACAATGACTTAGTCACCTCAGCGGTATATCGTCGTCTAAATCCGTTAAACTGTTAACCCCATTAGTAAGAATTTTCAGAACAATAAAACGTTACATTTTTCGTTTTATGATTCACAGCCGAAAATTGAAAACTCCGTTAGTCAACATTAATTTTACTTATTTGTTTATGATACAATCTATATAAATTATTACATTTTGAAAAGTTATAACAAAAAAAAGGAGTCATCAGGATTACAGTATCCATACAGATTTGTGGAATTAGCATATTTACGATTTTTAAGAAAAGGTATAGAAATTAAAAACATAGTTATGAAAAACGGAAAAATATTTTATTTATTTGATAAATTAGTGAAGTAGGGAGAACTAACTTGATTTGTTGCAAATCTTGATACTTTCTCTCCTTGATAGGTAAACGGTTCTGATGCAAAACTGGCAGTTCATCATACAGAAAATTCGGGACTACTATTCTCCTTTGCGGCACAACAGTCCAAGGATCGTTAAAGCTTATCTTGTAAAATATTTCTCCTATAGGCCTGTATTGTAGTGCACGAATATCATTAACTTTGCATCACCGACTGACCGTCCTGGTCTAATACTTTTATAAGCCTGAACACAGTTGAAATCTTTAAAAAATCGTGTGTTAAATATTGTACTGTGTAAGGCTCCTTTCGTGCGTTTTTAATAATATTTATGTAATCAGCTGGGACATTGACAATCTCATTTTTTAGATTTCTCTCGATTGCGAAATGCATGGAGTTAACTTCCATTTAGGTGTGGCCAACTTCTAGATACTTTTGTTCTATAGACATTATGTTTGACAGCAAAATTAAGCAAAGCATTTGATAATACAGCATTTCTGTTTTGGTAGCCACACCCATCTGTATAAATAACAATCCTATTGCATTCAGAAGATAACAGAGGGATTATTTTGTTTTCTAAAAGATTTATCCAAATTGAAGCAAACTCTTCGGCATTTACGCCTCTCTCACTTTCATTCCAGATGTAAGAAAACGCAGCCGTATTTTTTAAATTTTTGAAGCAAAGATTATGGACTTGGAGCTTCGTTTTGTAGTAAAGGGTACTTATATTGGAAACATGACAAAGCAAAACAGCTTGCACATCTGTGGCAATCACAATGCACGATGAATCTTCTTTATCCTTTTCCTTTTCTTTCCTGGCTTCTTCTTTCTTAATTGTATGTAAACTGTACTCATTTTCTTCTAAATTGCCTGCTTTGTATAGAGCACATTTTTCACACTCTTCTTTTTCTGGCCGGAAAAGTGAAATGTTACTATCTTCCATAGACTTGTAACAAATGGTTGTTGAAAACGGTTTTATATTGCGTGAAGCGCACCAGTCTAAAACGTAGAAATCATACAGGGCCTTTTTGCATTGCCATTCAGGTAGTAAGTAAATCCTCGAAGTAGACGCTCGACAATAAAGCGATTCCATTTTAGGTAAAGCGTGGAAAAATTCTGTAATATTAGAGTGTCTTTTCATTCATCAGACGGGAACATTTTGTGACGTAACACGTTGCTTGCTAGGTTTGCTGCCGTCATTAAGTTTCTTTTTCCATCCAAGTACTGCCATTCTGCCAATATTTAATGTGTTCAGAAACATAGTTTTGCAAACTCTCAGCTTAGGTTCTCCGGGTTCACCAGGCAAGTAGTAGACCAAATATTGTGTTCTCTGGGATTCTTCCACATGTTCACGGTCTCTTTGTCGTTTGACTGGTAAAGATATTACATGTTCATCAATGTATACTTTTTTTCACCGCAAGATAATTTCTTCCAGAACTTAACGAAAGTCTCTTTCCTCACATTTCTTTTATTTTGTCACACTTTAATAGTTTTGATCCTTTACACTTGCAACAATCCTTCAGTTTTTTGGTTCTTTTTCAACTTCGTAAACCCACTTTGAATCTTTTTTCACTCTTCCATAGTATTTGGACCCAGTTTCTCTTAAATTTCTATTCTCTGCAAACCAATTTTTACGATCAACTTTGTATTTTTTATTTCTTATTTTACTTTTAATGGGTAGTTCAGTGTCACTATCAGATGAACTTGAATACGGTACCAAATTCATATTATTTTCTGATTCTTGTATAATTGTTACTTCAGACTTAATGGTTTCAATTTCATTATGGTTTTTATGTTGCTGATTCGAAATCAAATTCAATGAAATATTACTAATTGTAGTTGAACAACTGTCGCTGTTGCGTCCTTCATAACTTTCGACAGACAGTACTTGTAAAAACCATGCTAGTAGACGTGCTAGGCATAGGATCAGAAGGTTCTGTAGTGCATTGGAGGTCTTGAACATTTATATTCGAGGTTTGATCAGCGCCAATGATATTAATAGTACTAGATAGGCTGTTTCCAAGAAGTGCTGAATCCGTATTAGCACAATATACACTATTTATCTCATTAGTGAATTCTATAGTGGAAGGGCCAGTGTTGAAAAAAGCAACCGTGTCGTGACAACTTTCAGTGGCGAGAGACGTTTCAAGAACTACAGATAAACTTCTTATGTCTATCTGAGCGTCTTCATTATTGCATTGGGTCATGTCACAATCATTGTTATTAGTAGGTGTTGTTAAAACGACGAGGTTTGAGTTAGGATCAATACTAAGAGTAGTTGGTAAAACTTTTTGTGGTTCACTGTCAAAGAAACAGGGTTCAGTATCGTGAGAAGCAAAAGCAGGTATGTTAGCAGATAAAGTTGATGAGATGTTGGGTATGACATCAAGTGCATTTTTACTCAAACTCATGTCAACAATTCGTTTCCCTCGAGAATTAAACTTTTTGCTCATCTGCAACAACACAAACAAAGTAAGCCCGCAAACCAAGCTAAAGCAAACCAATACCAATAGAATTCTACCTCACCAAAAGGACTATATTAATACGGTACCTATATTAACCTAGGTAAGTAAAAAGAACATTTCTGCAAAGAAATAGAGCAGCCGTACTTAAGTAAGTATTCCCACCGGATTGGTTAAATCGAAACTAACGCGTGGGCATACTTAATATCTACAGTAGGTAAAGTATAGTAGACTTGTGGGCGCCCCGCGGGCTTACCCGACTTAGTTTAGATTATACCAATACAGTAGGAAGCTATTATAGAACTATTCCTGCTCTACATAAGTAACTAAGTATATTGAAAAATAGGGTTAATCATTTCAGTAGTTTTGTTGTGAAAGAGCTGTAACAAAGCGTCCACCGAACCATCCATACCTTCGAATATCTATAAATCCACACGTAGATACTTATGTGTCGGTAGGTATATGTGCAATAGATATATAAGGTTATAACACATCAGGTATTAATTTCATGTAAGCAGACAACATTCATAGCAATCATTGCCACAATAATACCCAATTTCAAGTAAATAAGAAATAAAACATGCCATCTCCACTAATACATTTGCTTGGGTTACTCAAAGTTAAAAGTAAGAGCTGCTATCTCCCACCCGTTCCAGCGATCACATT